TGTCGCTGTTTTACCGGAATGACAGCACAGTGGAGCCGTACCCTCTTCAGCTACCAGGCTGCTCCCTCGACTGCCCCCTAGATGAGTTTGTGAGAATTACAAAGTCCTCGATTTCAGAAGACAGGAACAAGGAGTGTCAGGTTCCTTCAGACTGGAGAGACACAGGTGAACTTTTATTTTTTTAACACACACTAAAAAAGACTGATAAAATTAATTGTTCCATCATTGATCCTTTATTTTGTCTCTCCAAGTGTTCACTTCACAACACATAATCAGCGGCCTGTTGGTCTGTCTGCTCCTCCTCGTCATCTTTATCCTCATCTGCGTTATTTGTCACTACAAGGGGCAAATCGGCAACCAGAGACACAACCAGGAATTCGGAGAGGAATTTTGACAGAACTTTTAAAACCAGTTTCATCATCGTTTACATGAGTAGTGATGAATTTAGACATTGTTGGAGGGACCAGGACTGATTTCTACATCAGCTGATCTCTAATCAGTTTATAATTTCAACAAATATGACCCAGATCTCTGCTCGGATATTCAGTCTGGGTTTGTATAACGCTGCGTTTTGTGACTTGAACGGCTGCAGAAAGGTTTGGAGATGTTGTGATTTTAAATAACATAATTATGGTCTGGAAACATGATGGGGAAATGATGAGTTCTTGGTAATGTCATTGTAACTTTTCTTAAAAACATGTAACACAAATAAGACTTCAGAAACCTTAATTATCTAAGAATGTTTCAGTTCTGAATCTCAATGTAAACTGGTCTGTTTCCTTCATGTAACCAGATCAGTTTGTGTACAGTGTGTGTGTGTGTGTGTGTGTGTGTGTGTGTGTGTGTGTGTGTGTGTGTGTGTGTGTGTGTGCGTGTGTGTGTGTGTGGACTAATGACCAAGATGCCTTAATTTTTTTATCCTTGTTTCTGAGATATAGATATATATATATATATCAACAATACATTATAGAAAATAAAAGTATAATTTTGACTAAGAATCTTGAATATTTTTCATTGTTCATTTTGTTCCTTTCTTCCTCAGACACTAGAGGTCAGTGTTGTCTCAATCATTCCTCTCACCTGTCAGACATACAGTGTCTACAGTGAGATAGCTGTGCTGCCTTCAGTATCTGTCACTGATTACAATGATTACAGCCTATGTCGGCTGCTTATGGGTACAAGATGTTGCTGTAACTTTTATACAGGTTATGACAAATTTGATCTGTTGTATGCATTTGTTGATATTTTATAGACTAAATGAGTTAAATGAATTGGTTAATTGGAAAAATAACAGACTATCTCATTAAATGAATCATTATCTGCAGCATTAATGTTAATTTCAATAGTATTTTGTGTTTATTCCAGTAAAGCTTCTTTGGATATGTGGGTTGAGTTTGTGTTTCCGAGTGCATGCGTGTGGGTATTTACCACTGAGACCTGGCTTACATATACCACAAGGCACCGTGTCATAATCACACTTGTTTTAAGTGAGTTACAATCACGGAGGTGTTACAAGTTAAAGCTGTATGTGTGGAGCATTTGATGTTTGAAAAGGCTTTCTGTGCTTCAGAGCAGTTAACACTGAAAACCTTTGGTCCTGAGCTGACCCGTTTCGCATGACCCTGTGGTACGCTATTTATACAGTGAAAAGCAGCTTTGTTGTATGAGGGTCTGGCAACCTTAAGCACTAAGCCTGGATCCTAGTGGGAATCTGATTTTGGTCTACCTTTTTCATTACCAGTATACAATCACACTGCGATTACGTAGTGAAAATGTGTTTTCTTGTGCTTTCGTAATGGTTTTTTCCAAACAAATAGACTGTATAAACCCTTTGGGAACATGATTCCCCCAAGTGTTTTGGTGCATTTTCCTCTGTGCTAGTCACTGTGTCAACACTTTCTTTTTCATCTTGGTTAATGAGACGCTACCTTGTGCCATGAATGTAGGATTTGCTCCTTAATATCTTTAACAATTTTAAAGTGAGACACACTGGGCCACTGTGTGACCATGGACGAGACGCAGAAGGTAAAGTGAGGAACACCGGTCGTTAAGTGACCTCTTTTCCATCATTTAGTAACCTGACGACTGACTAAGTGACATAATTTATGGATATTTCATATTACATACAAAACTGTACAATGAATCCAAATGGTGAACTCAGTAACTTCAAGAAGTTTGGGTAAAACAAGATATTTTAATGAATTATGATCAGATCTTTTCCTGTTTCGGAAACTTTTTATAAAATTCTCTGTCTGTATTTTTTATAACTTTTAGCTTATTTTTTGACAAACTCAGTGCTCTCTTCTCACTGATACTTGGCCTTTGTTCTATTAAACTATTTACTTTTCTTCACAGACTCTGACTCTGACTTGGGTGGAATTCATATGATGTGATGCAGTTAAACTATCTTTGAATCAAATATTTAAATGTATTAAATGATAGATTAGTTTATTAACTAGCTCGAATGAACAGGAAAGCAGAACACATTTAGTTTGAAGATTTAGATATTTAGTATTAGACTCTGGTGGCTAACTGCTCCCCACTATTATAATTATATTATTACATGTACTAATAGATCTAAGCCTACTACTGCTATTAGGTAGTGTTTTTAACTGGTTTTGAGTCCAAAAGAGGTTATGTTCTTCCCCATTATGTTAATGTTGTATAAAATTGAACATAAATAAGATTAGCACAAGGAAGGCTGTTTGTGTAGTTGAAAGCTCCAGAAACAGCTAGTAAGTGGCCCATGAGTAGCTCTGTTGTCAGAAGTCTTTCCTTCAGACAGTGAACTGACTCTCAAACTGGAGCTGCTCCAGAGAACCGTATAGAAACGCAAAAAGTGAGAGATTTTCTGGAAATAAGAGAACAAGAGTCCTCGGGCTTATTCACACCGGGGTAGAATAACGTGGCGGCTTCATGGAGTTGAAAATTAACCAGCGGTGGAAAGAATTCCAAAATATCCCACTGAGGTAGAGGACCCCATAAATAAATGCTGATGTTTCGCTTAACTGGCATCAAAATCTGCGTACATGAAAGGAAAATATATCTTATGTTATGTGGAGTAAAGGTTTGAAAAAAGAAAGAGGAAGACAGTTTTGGTTGTGGCACACCTGGACATTAGCACAAATAAAAGATTCAGTCAGAAAACACCTAGATCAGTGTTGAAATAACCCCTGTGGGAACATATCAGTACACCACATCCCATGAACTGTCTGCAAAACATAGAGCAGCAAAACAACACTATTCAGCATTCAGCAATATTCCCTCTGTGTTGTTGCCAAGTTATTGTATGGCTCTGCCAGTTAAATGTCAACAATAACCTCTTTGTCTCTTTGTTTTTGCCTCAGGCTGTTTATGTATGCGGTCAAATACTATGTGTTACTAAATCCTGGTGGAGGTGTTTATGTTTTTGCTCATATCTCAGATTATAGGTGACAGCTAATGCTGAAAACACATGCTGCTGCTGAGCTTAACCCCCCCAGCCCCCCGAGAAATTAACACTTGTGGAAAAACAGAAAAATAGGCAGCGGCCAAATGTCACTAGGATCACACACACACCCACACACACACACACACACACCGGCATCAACAATAACAATAATGAGAACAATAGTGATTAGAGAAGGCAGGGATTACCCTTAATCTGCAGTATCTATGTGTTTGTTTAAGGGGGTAGATATGCTCATTAAGGAGGATACCCTCCATTCATCTGTTCACACTGACACCTCATTGATAGAGGTGTAATCTGCTTGTTGGGAGATTATATAAAGCAATCCAAGTGTGTGTTTTGGGGGGGGGGTCTGATGGCCGGGGTCGCCCCACATGGACATGACTAATGATCATGAAGATCACACGGAGAATTACTAACATAATTACCGAGATGATCTGATGAACAGATGTCTGCGAGCTTCCTCCTGCTGACAGGCCCTTCACTGCCTAATGCAGCCACCCCAAGTGCTTGCTATTGAGCAATACTGTACCTTTGGTGCCTTCTGTTTGTGACTGATTGTGATGCAGGAAAAAATAGTTTTTATAAGGTAGGATCATGTGTGGGAAGAGTTTGTGTGTGTGTGTGTGTGTGTGTGTGTGTGTGTGTGTGTGTGTGTGTGTGTGTGCTGATGGCTGCAGAGGTGCAGAGTGAGCCAGAGCAGCCAGATGATGGCAGCATTTCTGCAGCTTGTTGTTGCTCTGAAGCCTCTGACGCATTTGCTTTAGTCAGTCCCCCCTCTGTGAGGTGGCTGTTTTTCATTCAACATGAACATTTAGTAAATATGCAGCAAAGTGCAGCATAAGCAAATACATCAAATCATACCTGCCCCCCCCCCACACACACACACGCTGCTGTTTGTGTTTTTGTTTATTTTGACACAGCAAAAGCTACATTTTCAAACAATTATGACCATAATTATTACCAAATGTGGACACTGCACTGCTGTGCTGGATGTGAGGATAAATGGTGAGGTACTGAAATAGGAAACCAGTTGGAGAGGAATACCCACAGGTTTAAAAATAGGCCACAACAGTCCTTATATAACAAGTGGGACGTCAGGGTTGTTTACAGTGTTTCTGCCTGAGAAATGAATGGTTACAATCCAGCATTATGTTGCACATTTCAAATCCTCATTAATCCCAACAGGCTCAAATGGCCTGTCAATCACACTGCACATAAAAAATATATAGCTATATTAGACACATTTAAAATCTAATTTTAATGGAGATATTCAGATGCTTTAACAGATAAAGCAAGCCTTGGGTGTTTTTTTTTTTTTGCACAACACTTTCATTTCACAGTGCACAACACAGCATTTCACATCATAAAAGGGGCTTTCTGATTTCTGTTTCTATATGAGAGAGCTGTTTGGGAAAACAGGGGGCGGGGTTTTGCCTGATTTGAATTATTTAATGATCCAATGGGAGGCGTCGGAGCCGGGTGATGGACAGGCACGGCCCCTGCAGGACGCACCGCCCCCCTATGACTCCGTGTTTTAGTCTGTTTTTAGAGCAGCAGCGTCACATGTTGTTTTTCTCCAGGATCAGATCAGTCCCTGGTCTGGTCCCACCGCACTGTTGCTTCTACCGCGGAGGACAGCGGACACAGCTATCGGTGTCTGCTATGGAGTAGATCAAATACGAAATTAAAAAACGGGTTATCTTTAAAGTTTATTCTGCTTCTTTTTTTTTTTTTTTTCCGAAACACTCTGCTTACCTGGAACTTGAAAACAGAAGTGGAGAGATAATGGCAAGTCCTCCGGCGACGGGAGGACACCTGTTATCTAATGGGACGAATGGCGTGAAGAAGTACGGGTACCTGAGGAAACAGAAACACGGACACAGGCGCTTTTTCGTCCTACGGGAGCCGACGGAGCGCTGCCCGGCCCGGCTGGAGTATTACGAGAGCGAGAAGAAATGGAGAAACAAGTCCGCCGCGAAACGGGTCATAACTTTGGACTCCTGTCTGTGCGTAAACAAACGCGCCGACGCCAAACACAAGCACCTCATCGCCCTCTACACCAAGGACGAGTACTTCGCCGTGGCTGCTGACAACGAGCAGGAGCAGGAGAGCTGGTACACGGTTCTGACGGATCTAATAGCCGAGGGGAAGGTGTACGACAGCCCCGCTTCCACCTCCTCTTTAGTGGGCTTTGAGGAGACCAGCTACGGACTCATTGCTCCTGCAACAGCTGCCTATAAGGAGGTATGGCAGGTCAACTTGAAATCCAAAGGCTTGGGTCAGATCAAGAACCTCACTGGAGTGTACAGGCTGTGTTTGTCCAGCCGGACCATCAGCTTTGTCAAACTGAACTCGGAAACAGCTGCTGTCAGTTTACAGCTCATGAACATCCGCAGATGCGGCCACTCAGACAGCTTCTTCTTCATAGAGGTGGGCAGGTCAGCGGTCACCGGGCCTGGGGAGTTCTGGATGCAGGCGGAGGACTCAGTGGTGGCTCAGAACATCCACGAGACCATCCTTGAGGCCATGAAGGCCATGAAGGAGCTGTCCGAGTTCAGGCCGCGGAGCAAAAGCCAGTCAGCCAGCACCAACCCCATCTCTGTGCCCACACGACGCAACCTCAACAACCTCCCCCCCAGTCAGACGGGCCTGGTGCGGAGATCCAGGACAGATAGCATGGCAGCCACGTCCCCAGGGAGAAAGTTCACATCCTGCCGGATAAGAACGGCCAGTGAGGGAGACGGAAGCGTGACCCGGCCAGTGTCCATGTCCATATCTGTGACTGGAAGTCCCACCAGTCCAAACTCTGGGAACCACCTCAGCAGGTCCCATACCCTCAGCAGTGGGCGCACCTGCAGGATGCTAGAGTCCTCCTCCAACCTGCATCACAGCCGGTCCATGCCGATGTCCAACTCCCCTCCTGCTGCCTCCAGCCCCATCAGCATGTCTCCCAGAGGGGGGGCCAGTATCTACACTCCTGACAAAGCAAGGCGACCTTTCAGCTGCAGCGCCTCCATCTCCGGCTCCCTCAGCGACACTGGCTTCATGTTGTGTGACGATTACAGCTCCAGCCCGGGCGAACCCAAATTCCTCCCCCTGACCCGCAGCGACACCCCTGACTCTCTGTCCAGCACGCCTCCGTCCCGTGACATCAGCGACCCTTGTGGCTACATGATAATGGAGGGGGCGAATGGCAGCAGGTCTGGGGCTTACGGCGAGGGTCTGGCGTTTGACAAGGCTTACAGGAAGCGGACGCACTCCCTCACCACACCACGTCAACAGAGGGTGGTGGCGCCGCTGTCGTCTGCCTCCCTGGATGAGTACACGCTCATGAGGATGGCCCACGGACAGAACTCTCACTCCGCCTCGCCCAAAGTGTGCTACCCTGAGGATTATGGAGACATTGAAATCGGTTCATCCAGGAGCTCCAGCAGTAACCTTGGCGATGATGGCTACATGCCAATGACGCCAGGTGTAGTGTCCCAGTCTGGCAGGGCAGACAACTACGTACCCATGAGCCCCATGTGCGTCTCAGCACCAAAGCAGATTGTGAACCCTAGGGTGCACCCTCAGGCGGCTGCCAGCGGCGGCTACAAGACCAACTCCCCCTGCAGCAGCTCCCTGGAGGACAGCGGCTACATGAGAATGTGGTGTAGCTCCAAATCCTCCATGGAGAGCCCAGACAGGAATGGTGAATACATGAACATGTCACCTGGAAACCCACCTCCACTCCAGACCCCCCCTGACTACTACTTGGGCCTGATGGCTGGCGAACCCACATCAGCGAGGCCGGCTTACCAGGCCGGCTCCCTCACGCTCCCTGCTAAACTTCAGGCCTCCAAGAATGAGGAAAGCAGCCAGTATGTGTTGATGAGCCCTCAGAGTTTGAGGCAGAGGGCGGGTGAGTCAGACTATTATTCAGTGATGCAGCCCAGTGCAGCTCAGACCTCACCCCTGAGCCCCTCGGTACCCTCCCCAGTCAGACACGGCCGGGCGGACACGCTGCCCTACAGAGGGAGGCTGGGCAGACCTAACAGGCTATCCCTAGACACCCTGAGGACCCTGCCCAGCATGAACGAGCACCCCCTCCCCGGAGAACCCCGAAGCCCTGGGGAGTACATCAACATTGACTTCAGCGGTGCCAGATTCTCCCCGCCCTCCATTGTATCCGCAGAGAGCCGGTCTTCGTCGCTGGGTTCCAGCGGCGGGGGCCCGGGGAGGTCGTCTCTGACAGACTACATAAATCTGGAGCTGGGCTCACACTCACCCAAGGGGGCTGACACTCCCGCTGAGCGCTTGGACACACTCCCAGAGTTATCAATGTGCCCCTGCTCAGAGGAGGATGGCGTGTACCATCTGGATAGTGAGAAAAGGTCTCAGGGCCTCGGTGATGAGGTGAAAAACGACTACACTGAGATGACATTCGGGATGACCAGCTCGCCTCCACAGCTTGTTCCTCAGAACACAGCAAGGTATGTGTATCTGTGTGGGGAGGGGAGGGAATATCTGTCATTTATTCTCATTTATTCCAACAGTCTGGCTGTGTGACTGATCCCAGGCGGAGACAAATATGTGGTTGAAATATTACAGAACATGCATGTTAATTATTATATTTTTTACTCAATGAATAAATGTGGAATGGAAAGTGATTGATAATCAATATTAAATGAATGAATCCAGATAGATAGACAGATAACATTATTCTTGGTTGATTTCCTTTAATATATTTATACTGATCACAAAGGAGATCACAAACAGGATGTATAAGCTTCAATATACAGTAACTGGAATGTAAATTGTGTAAAGAGGCTGTAACTCAACATCCAGTAAATATCTTTTAATATTTTAGTAATTGGATTGTATTTTAAATCTTTAGTTTATAGCTTCTCTCATATTATAAACATTGTTCTCCAGCAGCCAGAGCAGCATGGAGAGGAGGCTACCACTGGAGGATCAGGGAGTCCCAGAAAGCATTGGGGTCTTCCTGCTTGGGGCCACCTCTTCCTCCACAGTTGACCCCGACTGCTCCGCCAAGGTGATCCGGGCCAATCCGCAGGGACGCCGGCGCCACAGCTCCGAGACCTTCTCCTCTACCGCCACAGTGACGCCGGTCTTCCCCTCCTTCGCCTGTGGCGACATGGTGAAGAGGCACAGCTCGGTGGAGAACATCTCGTCCCGGAGCAGCGAGGGCTCCGACGAGGAGTACGGCAGCCCGGTGAACCGGCAGAGCGCGGCCGGCTACCCGAACGGACTGAACTACATTGCCTTGAACCTGCTGGACAACAGGGACATGGAGAAATGCGAGGACCTGGCTGGCTTCAAACCCACCAGCAGCTGCAAAGGGGGTATCAATGGATTACACAGCACACCATATGTCTGTTTGGGATTCAAGGAGGCTGCAACCACTGCCAAAGGTGAGCGAGGCCGATGTCAGATGTGTTACTGCTGAATAATGTGTCCAACCTTTCAGCTTAAAGTGCTGCAGGTGTTTTTGTTTAAAAGGAGGGAGTGAATTGTTTCAGGAATGTGAAAGGTAGCTCTTTTTAAACCAAACAAAAGAGCAAAGCAGTTCGGTTTTACTGTGTGAAAGAGCTGCGATGTGCAGTTGGAAGAGGGGAAAAAAACAAAACAAGGATGAATCCAAACTTGCATTTCCTCTAAATTCAAATTCAAACGGTCTCTGTGGATTTCAAAGTATGTAAGTAGGTGGTGCTGATGTGGCCTTCAGGTGCTCCTCTTTAGCTCCTGCTTTGGCGTACTCACAAATCCTGTAAACACAAGCAGCGTCAAAAAGAAGACGAGTGGCTTCTGATCTTACTTGCAATAAATCACGGTTTTTATTTTTTAATGCGTTTGGAATCATTCCCATTCTGTAACCCTGACATTTCCCACAACACGTGAACGCAGCACAAGGCTGCTATGAAACGTGATCAAGCCGAGGGCTCTGAAGTAAACAAGCACCATGACTGAGCAGGACGCTGCCTCGCTGCTACTGTTGTGGGCTGCAGACACTAAAAATACACAAACACATTTCGGAATTCCACCAACGCATATTGTGAATGGAAAAACAGAAAGGAGAGCAGAAATTCATTTTAACGCATCAGACACAAGTATGCTGTAAACATAGTCAGGGGTATTAAATAGTTCCTTATCAAGTCTATAAAATTGGTTTACTATGGCTTGTTATTAGCAGTAATGCCAAAGGAATGCCACCATGCTGATAAGTAAGGCTTCCTCTCAGTTGTAATGTCACACTGAGCCGCGGGCATTTCCGGCTGTTGTTTTTCAGTTGGGTAGGCTTTAGGATGTGTTGCACATCAATGTGACCCCTTACTCCCACCATCCCGTGATCAATACGGTGTCCCAGAATATCCCCGGCGAACAAAATAAAGCTGTGGTCGTGGGACAGCAGACGGTGTAAACGAAGAGCGCAGGGACAGCAGAATGTTGACTTTAAAGCCACATTTGACTCTCTGTCCCCCACTGGACACAGAGAGCTCACATGTGTTTGCGGTGGCCGGGGGTGAGGAGGGGGGTGGTTTGTATGCTTGACATGTGAGGCCCAGCACAAGTGGATATGTGTTTTTGTGTGTGTGTGTGTGTGTGTGTGTGTGTGTGTGTGTGTGTGTGTGTGTGTGTGTGTGTGTGTGTGTGTGTGTGTCCTTGTAGGCAGCGGAGGGGGAAAACAACAAAGTGGGCGAGTTGCTATGCGGCCATCAGGTAACTGGATGTCACGGTCCGCATTCCTGGCAGAGCGGGTTTTGAAAAAGTGGCTGTGAGAGGGGCCTGTTTTTGTCCCGGCTCCAGGCCCATTTTGAATAGAAAGTGTCTTTTATTTCACCACAAGGCCCCTGTGTACAGAGAGGAGAGAGAAGTCATATTACGTTTCATTTTTAACACTCTGAAACTGATTATTTGCACAGTCGGTGACATTGTGGTGAATAAAGAGGGATGTACCAACTCAGCACAAGCCCCCTCAGGATGGAAAATCAATTATTTTCTCAGAAGGACCTTCTGCATTTACTTGCGTACATGACTGAAGTCAAATGGCTGTTTTTCTGTTAAACAGGTGGTAAAGTGAGTTAATGATGGTCTGCTGCATCCTTTCAGAAACTTGATTTGCAGCGTAAGGGCTATTAGCAACGCGTTGTTTGTTTTCTTACCCGGGGTGTGTTTGTTTTGCACTGTTTTGTTCTGTACTCCTGTTTTGATCGAGCGCAGATATTTTTTTATGGCCCTAATAAAGCTTGTTGAAAGTAACTGACCAGGGAGAAGGAGGGGAAAAGACTCCCAGCACATACATGTGGACTCTAGCACGTACACATGTGGGGCAGTCGGGGGGTGTTTTTTTTTCCCTCTCTTCTCTCAGGGACCTTTTTTTTTTTTTTCCAGTGGCGTAGCCTGCATCCGCAAAACACTTGGCAGAGATGTGCAGAGAGAGAGAGTAGCCTGTTTTGTTTTCCAGCGCTGCTTGCCTGACTGTTTGCGGGAGAGCAAATTTAATGCGTGCATAATGGGGCAGGATGGCACGTGCACTCCGCTGCCCTTCTGCCTCATTAGGCTGTTCACTTAGCAGAAGTAAGACAAGCAGAGAGCGAAGGGGGTGGGGGGTGGAGGAGATGGAGCACAGCCTTGTATGCTCAGTAGAAAGAGCAGGGGAGGGGCTTGAGCTTTTTAAAGCAACAAACAAACTCTTTGGTGAGGCCCCCTTCCAACCAAGGTGCATTCTGGGAGCGCGGGACCCAGGATGGTAGGCCCGATGGCTTGTTTACTGAACACAAAAAGCGGGGTGAAGGAGGTCAAAGCGCGCTACGGGGCCGGGGCGTGGGGGTTAGTTTGGCGCCGGGCCCCACTGCCGGATTTGATTTCGTGTTTATCGGGACGTCACGCTGGGCCCCCCTGGACCATGTGCCATCCTGACCCAAATGTCTGCAGGTTTTCCTTCCAGCCAAACACCTCCGCGCCTTGACTGTGCGGATTAGTTTGCCCTCTCCGTGAAATGTAGTTTGCCTGGAATGAAAACCTGCTGACTCTCACCACTCTAAACCAATAAGCCCCGGCTGCCCCTTAGAATTCAGCATTCGCCCCCCCCCCTACACCCATGTGACTGCACCGCTTCCAGTCAACAAAACCCTGAAGTCATACGCTTTTGGGTTCATGTTTGTGGCGCTCCACCTGGAGTCAGGTAAAGACGTCTTGCTGCCTTGCACAGTGGGGGTCAGGTGTTTGTTTACATCTTGTTTTGTCAGCAGGCCAGCCCATGTGAGTCTGAGGTGGTGTTTACCTCTGCCCTGACCCAAGCCGCTCGCCTTCTCTCGCGGCTCTCTGGCTAGCCGCAGCTCAGCCAGGTGGATGTTCTGTACCAGACCCAGATTAGCCAAGTCAGCCGTCTCTGTTTCCAGGTACTATTACGTCTGACTAATACCTTTTTATCTGACGGCGGCAACCAACTCATGCTTCCTCGTGGCGACTCAAGACGCTTGATTAGCACAGAGAGGTTCTTACTACAGTTAGGCAGTTTGCTGGTGTATTGATTTGATTTCTTTTATGTTCATGATCCTTTCATCATCAGACACAGTAGCAGGTAGAGGATAGGGGATAGAAGGAGGGGGAAAACACTAAAAGGGGGCTCCAAGACCAGAGGAGCCCCACTATGACGCTCAGAGTCCCTCCTGAGTGCTAGTGGCAGATGGTCACTCTCTGGAGGGCAAGTGTGTGAGAGTGTGTGTTGGAGATGGGGAGGGGGGTAATATGGAGTGGGGGGGGGTTAAACACCTGCCACCCTGCCCCATCTTCACACACATGCAAACACTCTCATTACACTGATTTCCATTCCCGCTCTAGCATGTAAACACATACATGCCGCTATATGTCTCTCTCATGCACACACACACACACACACACTTAACATCCCCACCCACTCACCATCCCTCCGCTAATGACAGCCCGCCATCTGCCGCGCCCACAGGCTGCAGAGTATGACCATCAGCATCGAGTGTGTGTGTGTGTGTGTGTGTGTGTGTGTGTGTGTGTAGTTCATGGGCCAGATTAGAAGCATTCGTGTCCATCTACTTAAATGCCGCTTCCGCTTAACGTCATTCAGTCGGTAGTATTGCGAGTGATGTCATCGCAGACGTGATGTGGGGGGGGGGGCAGATCCAAGCGCACCCGGAGCGTGTTACGTATGTTACTTACATTTCCTGTTCTGTGTTTGCTGCGATGTTAGCGGGTGCAGCGAGCGAAAGAGGTCTAGTTGCACAGCCATGCATCCCTAACTCGCTCTGAGCATGCTCAGTAGCTGTGGCTGTAGACACAAACCCTAACCCAGCTCTACTTCTCCTCTCTGTTAAAGTAGAGCTGCAGCGATGAGTCAGAAAAATAAATGATTATGCAACTGATTTGATTAATCGATTAATAATTTATGCCAAATCATCTCCAGTTCCAGTTAGATTTTTTCCTGTGTCAGTGGTTCCCAACCTGCCTGCGGGTCACTGGATGAATCTGAGGGGTTCAGGAGATGCATCATGGGAGGGGTTAAGAAGACAAACAGAAAGCTCTGTTGCACAAATTAGAATTCTTGTGATGAGCGTCACAAACATTTGGGAAACACTGTCTTGTGTGATAGTAATTGTTACAAATATAGAGATAAATCCATGATGAAAACAGACTTAGACATTTGCATAAGAGCTGCATTGATACCACTTTTTCCACTGCGCCCTTGTGGCTCTATTTCTGATTTTCTACGTGTGACATTTTGTTCAGGCATTTGTGGAATTACCCGTAAGGGTGACACCTGATTTTTACCCATCAGCCTGATTGTCCAATCCATTGTTGCTGCCTCCCTGCACGCCGGATCAAACACACGCATAGCTGTTAAATAGTTTATTTACATCCGCGTCAGACCTGCACTGAAGCTCAGATCTCGCAAACATGTCAAAGCAGTGCAAATAGCCGAGGTAGGAAATCCAGAAATGCCATGTTATTTGATATATGGAGAACAAACATGCACACGTAACACACTGCAGGCTCTTGTGTCAGAGTTTCCAGGCAGCGTGTCTGTGTGTGTAGTGTGTGTGTGTGTGTGTGTGTGTGTGTGTGTGTGTGGGTGTGTGTCATGGCACGGGGAGGAGGGGGGCTAAAGTAGGCCGGGATGTTCCAGACAGAAGCGCTAGCTGCTAGATAACTGCGTGGCCAGCGTTCCCCACATTTAGCCAGCCACGGCTCCAGATGAGATTACAGCCTCTGCAGGCGAGATTAGACGGCCAGGGGTAGATCAGTGAGAGCCAGCGGCTACTCCACCGACAGCAGCTGGGTAATACGTAATGCAAGGTGTGGGCATTTGTTCGCTTGAGCCTGTCCAAATTTTTAGATTGTAATTGGGCACAAAAGGGCTAAAATCAACAGGAATCCATTTGGAGATTGGCTGTAAAATCATATCTGAGGAGCATTTTTTCCCTCACATCAGTCAAACAGTAATATCCTCCCAGTTATCATTTGTTGCTCCACTTTGTCCCCACAAGTCAAGTCAATGTATACCAGTGAATTCTGGATGTTTTTGTAGTAAATTATATAAGATACAGGGACTTATCTTGGGATTTAGTGACTTAACATCCCCAGTGTCCTCAACTACCCTCCGTCCCTCTGTCTTTTTATCGTGCTGAAATAGAATTAACAGTGTTTGTTCAGGCTTTTTTATGCAAGCGTTTGGTGACAGCTCCAAAAATGGCCATCAGCCTCGCTCTCAGCCCGACCGCCGCACATTTTTGCGGCTATCCGCCGTCTTTTTAAAGGGTTTCATCAGCCTTACGCTGATAGAAGTCTCCCAGCCCAGAGACAACCATGTAATCCTTGTGTGGTTTCGTGACACATGACTGCAGCGAGGATATTGTCCCCCCCCTGGAAACCACTGCCGTAGCGTCTCTAGGGCACGTCCCCTTCATCCCCTCCCCTCCCCTTCCACACACACACACACACACACACACACACACACACACACACACACACACACACGTAGTGGGTCTCCAGCTCTTTCTGGAAGCTTCCATTTGATCCATCGGGAATTCTTCCTTCTTCCTGCTCCTCCTCCACACACACACACACACACACACACACAGAGCAGCTTTTAAAACACCATAAAGCGCCTCAAAAATTATCACTATCTGCTGCAATATGAGTGCAACCACAGCTCTCTGTATGTCTACCACAGATGCATCAGCTACTGTACTGTAAGCTGGTCCTCCTCTGTACAGAGTGTGTCCATAGCAACACGGCAGCGCGACAAGAGACCCCCACCCCCCATCACTCTACATCCCAGATTATGTAATTACGACCGTTGCCGACCAGCCTCCCCCTCCCCCAACGTCCACCAAGCGCTTCCCGGGCGAAACAGCCGGCGTGTTAAGAAAATGGCACAACCCATCCAACCACAGCGTGATAGAAAGAGGGGTGGAGGGTGGAGGGGTGACCACATCCAGGTGGAGCAAAGTGAACTCCAGCGGCCGGCTGTCCTACCTATGTACAATCCCACTGCATGCGCACTAATAAACCCTCCACACACACACACACATCATAATGAACCACAATTCATACCAAGTATCCTCATTAAAAACAAAAATATGCATAAAACCATCACACATCCAAATCCCCCCCATTTAACGTGTGTGTGCAGCACTCTCTGTTCTTGTTATTCAAGCTGTTTTTCCTTGTAATTGTGGCACAAAAACAACCTAATCTGAGTTCACACTGTACAGTATGAGACTGTTCTCTCAGGTCTGCAGTCTGAAAGGTCGGAATTGTTGGCTCCTGTGTTGTTTGTGGGGGGAAATAATGAGACTACAAACTGGGGTTTACTTCTTTTTGCAATCAGAAATGTTGCAATGGGAAGAAGAATCTAGCAAAGTTGAAAGTAAACAATGTATGGTTTAAATTATTAAGTAAATCAGCTTTACAAATGTTTTATGAGGAAGGAAATTAATTGGACACTTTCCTTGGTTTCTCACAATGAGTTTTGAAACATCAAAACAACAAAAAAACACTGTAGTGCTTCAGTAATTAACAGTTTTTGTTCATTAACAACATACAGTGTCATGTAGTGAAATACCTTCAGAAAAACTGTTGAAATCATTAGATATTTCCACTAACTCCCTCTTTTTCCTCTCTTTTGTCGTCTCTTTCAGACTGAAGGACTCCTTTATCCTCAGACTTGGCGTCTACACAACCTGCTGCTCGACAAAAAAGAAATCAACTTAGCCCTTCTGCTGGGCACCGTGGCCCTAAAAGACTGTCTGGACCCTCAGTGACACTCGCACACAAACACATGCACACAGGAAACAAGCAGGTCATCATCTATGCATGTCATGAATTTGCTGAAGGCGGGACAGGTGTGTTTGTGTGTGTGTGTGTGTGTGTGTGTGTGTGTGTGTGTGTGTGTGTGTGTGTGCGTGTGCGTGTGTGTGGGGTTGTGCGTCTCATGTTCCCTGCACTTTTCGGAGGCCATTTTTTTCCTCTGACCCAAATTTGGGCGCAAGCACAGAAGCAAAGATAGTCAGACAATAACAAAACTCTAATGGTACCCAGATACTATTTATTTACTTGAGGGTAGTTTCATGGCTGTCTGTATGAGTGCGAGTGTGTGTTTCTGAGGCAGAGTACGACCAACCGGCATGTCAGTGAACAATGAAACTATAGAAATGGCCCAGGGAGCGAGGATACCAAGGTACACTGAGTATATAACTATATTTAGAGATAGATATTAGATATTTTATTTATTTTTGGAAGATGAATGTCTGATAAGACCTACCCAATGCCTTAATGTCTATACTGTCCTTATGTTTTTTAAGAGATAAATATTCTATTTCAGTATGTCTACCTACATCTCTATATTGTTATTCTGTTGTGAAAGTAACAAGCCTAGCTTACCATTCAAATATTATTTCAGAAATGTACAGTACAGTGGGGCTGCTTGAGAACTGATTTATCGTATTGATATTAAAGTATTTTCTTAATTACTAATTTCTTATTTATTCTAACCTAGTTTATTTTTTTGTCCAATCAAAGCGCTGGACTTAAAGAAATATATTTCTAAATGTCTTTAAGAGTTATGCATGTCCTTATAACTCAGCTCAGACCCCACAACACCAGGCATCTGAATGCACTGTACCTCCCACAGTTCCTCAGTCACTTGAGCCTGAAAACCTCACACACTCCTACCTTCAAACCTACGGCCTGCTGTTAAGCTCAATGCAGGCCGCCCTGCTGTGATATCATTTAACGGTACAACTGTCGAGAGGTAACGATGGAGGGGCGGAGCCGATGATAAATGTTGGGGGGGGCACAGTCGAGACAGTTTCCGGTCTGCGAGTTGAGGGGTGAGGCGAGGGGGGCGCCAGTGTGCGAGCAGTGAGGGGAGGAGGGCTCTGCAACACAGACAGAGTAGAAAAGGGGCCAACAGCCACATCTGGCAACATCATGGAGGTTCACTGGAGAACCAGCTGTCTGGAAAATGTAACTCTATTGCAGACAGCGTAAAGAGTTTGATTTGGCTGAAGAGAATTATGTAATGTTAGACGTTAAAGCAAGACTATGTAACGATTTAACAATGTGACAACTGTGTAACAATCACGGGATACAGCTAAATGCTGGAACAGTGTAACAGCAGCACTGACTTAGTAAAGTCTATTGTACAGCACTAATGGTTGCTAACATTAGCTATTACAAAGTCATTTAATTTGAAGACATTTTTTTAAAAAAAGTGAAATTCTGCTGCTCCTCAAGAGCTTTGAACCTCCAAAATGGCCGCCAGATGGTTTGTTAACATGCTCTAAAAAGGCCTCTACGGACATCCTAACTGTGTGGTCTTTGTGTCGTCCACTGTGCCGACTCCAACTGGCTCCCAGCCCCTTTAGTGTACAGTAGATTGTAAAACTTTTAACCATGTCTGAATGTATCGCTCAGCTGGTGGGAACACCGCAGAAACATAACGTGGGAAACGGTTGACTTGGAGTTGAATAATATTGGAGCTGTACCCCGCCAAGTGGTGGTATCTATTTATCTTCAGAGTCTTGAATGTGTATATTTTGTACATAAAAAGAGTTTAACTAAAAACAATCTATTGAAAATACATAGAGTACCTAGATTTGACCTATGTTGCAATGATATTCCTGTGTAAAGACTTTGGCTACAGATTTTTAAAATGGGGACGGGGTTTTTGCTTTGGGGTTGTACAGTGTATTGTATGCTTTTCTCCCTCACAGTCTCTGTGACTATATGAAAAAAAATACTGTCTATTTTATTATAGCGATCTCTTTGCCTTGTCGACACACTTTACCTAATGGCATATGCAATAGTGACATGAATACAATCTAGTTTACAACCGTGGAACCAAATGTAACATTGCATTGATTATTTTGTTTTTGTTTGTGACGAGCAGAAGCTGTTTTTTGCTCCTTGTACATTTCTCTTTCTGCCAAGTGTTTTGTTCTTGTCGCTGGGAACTTTTGTTCTTGACATGTCTCAAAGCGCTTTCCCCATTTCTGTGTCCATGGACGGACTCTTGTTTTACAGATTGATCTCGGATTGACTCAGTCTGAATGTGTCGTTGTCTTCCATTGTACATAGTTCAATATACTGTTTATTGTGATGCTCACAAGAGATGATTATAATGATTTATAAATCCTGGTAGTCGAGTATTGCTTTTGTCTGTATTGATTATGGATAGCAACCTACAGAAATAAATGAATTTATTTAAAGAGATACAACTTTGTCTTCATTTCTTTCCCACAGGTAATATCAGCTTGAATGACATATAGTATAGCTGTGGTGTAATATTAAGATCCCCTCAGTACAGTTATATCATAAAGTTATCATAATGATAAAGAAATAATAGAAATATAATGTTTCCCAACGGAAATACCTTCTAACAGTACAATAACACACTGTTGTTGTTTTTCATATAAAGATATATCCTTGAAAGAAAGATTATGTAACTTTTGCTGACCAGACTTTAGTTTATTGCTTGTAAATTAAACTTTAGTCTAATTAAAAAACTTTTTTTTTGCCTAAAAGTTGGCAAACTGATTTTAAATCCTCCTCCAAACCTCACGAGACTCCAACTCCCATCCTGCCCCTCTTCTTCTCCCTCATCCACTGGAATATCATGCATTTGGCACAAAGTCTTATAGCTTCCTGTCTGTGTGTCGAGAGAGGAGGATATCCTTCCTCCGTCCTGTGGAGAGCGAGTTAGCTGAACTCTCTGGCCGTCTCTCTCTAAGTGTTTTTATTTGACACACAGGCCGAGGCAGGAAGCTCATACTGAGCCAATGACTTCCTGCCAACCCACGCGTCTTGTCAGAAAACACTGTGTAGTCAAAGTCGGGAGGTCAACAGGTTCGAAACATGAAGTGAAGAACACATTTCACCTGTTTCTGTCTCACACACGCTCATATGGGGAGCTGGGACACAGGAACCTTGTGGCATATTTTCCATTGACGAGGCTACATTTCTTATCATTGGTTACTTATTATTGGTTAAAACAAGCATACAGCCTTTAAAGGTCAGGTCATATGAATCACAAAAAACATATTTTTCCACTTTCGTATTTAGCCATGCAGGAATGTTTTTATATTTCCAAGGTTTTGAGACCGTAGCTGTCAACATGAATGGAATTTAGTTTGTGGTATTTAAAATGATAGTTTATATTTCCTTATATGCCACCTTATGGAGAGTAAGATAAGACTGATACCACGGTTTCTTACATACAGCTGGAGCTAGAGGTGATTAGTCTAGCTGTACAAAAACAGCATTTAGTAAAACACTACAATTTGTTCTGTTGTTTGTCAAGAATTAAACTAATGATCATTGTTACTTTTAGTGTTAATTGGTGACATTTAGAGGTGCTGGTTGGCAGATTTCTTAAACTTTGGACACAGTCAGGCTGTTTCTTTCCCCCTGCTTCCAATCTTTGCTAAGACTGTTAACTGCCTCCAGACTGGCCTGGCTGTAGTCTTAGTAAATGCTCACTACAAGCAAGTTTGAAACCAAAAGCACGACTCTGAGACCAGAAAATAAAAAGTTCAAGTTTAATCGAAGTCGAAACCAGGCAATTTGGGGAGACAACGTATCTAAAAGGGGATCGGGTTAGAGATCAGGACTCCAAAAGGTGAAACAAACAAAACTCAGGCAGGAGGAGAAAATGGTTGGACCTTTAAGGCAGGAGCTGCTGGGGGAATGCATGGAAGCGGTCCAATCCTGTATATAGGTAGGTGGGGAGACTCAGGTGATAGGGGAATGGCGGGAACGCAGGGGTTACTGCAGGTCAGGTTGCAGGATCTGTAGCGACAGGATAGTTAGGACACGGCGGGGGGAAACGAAGACAGGGAAAATGTGAGGCCAGGAATTTGCTGACATTGAGACAGTCTTGTTTGAAGCAGAAAGTGAGCAGCATTCAGGGTACTACCACTCTCATTCTGCATTTATCAGCTTAATTAGTCACCCCGGGTCTCACCCAGTGTGTCCCCTCGAAACACTGAACCCTGTAATTATGAAAAATATCTCACTCTCACTCAATGTGATTATAATGCAGCTTTAATATTCTTTATGGGCACCACATCACAGAGTCTCTGTCTCTCCGGTACAAAATCAAATCACACACACACACACACACACACGCACACACACACACACACACACACACAAGTGGCCGCTGAGGGCACACCTCTAGCTGGCGTGTATTAATTAGCAGTATGACACTGTCAGTGGGGCTCTGCTCTGCTGCCAGCCAGTAACCAGCCTTACATAAGAGCCCACCACAAAGCCACAATGAAGGACACGTGTTTCTCACTGTCTGTATGAGGGGAAAAAAAAAACGTCTTCTCTTTTTCTTTAACAAAATCTGTATGGGCACATTTCTGCTCTGAAGGCAAACCACAGGAGAAGGACACGAAAGCAGAAGTCTTTGTTGCACGACGCTTTTGTTGTCTTCCTCGAACTTAAAGGACAGCTTGCTAAATAAAATGTGTCAGGGATGTGAATTTCTCAAGCTGTGCAACAACAGTTAAGGGCTCCTAAAATACAGTTTACAGGATGCTCCTTTGAAGTGACTGTGTGTATGTGTGTATCTGGTCTATTCCTGGATGGCCTCAATTATTCCCAAATTTAGAATCACATTCACAATCACATGCTTGCACACACACACACACACACACACACACACACACACGCAGGCAAAGCAAGCAAGAATTGATCGTGGCTGAGATACACGGAGCCATGAAATCTACATCATCATTGGGGTCTCGCTACTGTCGGAACTTGTGACATTTCTTGTCTCTTTGAAGATCAGGACATTTCCAGTTTGAGTGGAATCAAGTGGCATGCATACTTTCCAAAGGGGATCATGTAAAGACAGTATGAAACATGTTAACTAAATAAGCAGCCTTGAGTGGATTTGTTAATCTGATTACGCACGAGCACATGAAAATGTACTGTAAGCACTCCAAACATTTGCACATGACATCCATCATTTTATTACATTATTTGATAGTATTTAATAATAGTTTCCACTATAAAGCAAATAAATGTTTCTGCAAAATTGTATTCTGTGAAATCATAAGGGACCAGTTCTGTTAATACTGATGGGATAACAACTGACATTCACGGTGAATTGGTTAAATAAACGTCGTGGAAGAGTAGCTCCACTGGGAATTAAACTCGTGACCCAGGCCTGATTTGTTAGTGCCTTGATCTGCAGATATCGGCCAAACTGGAAATAATCACGTGAAATTGAACTTTAAACGTACGGTATGGACTCGATTCACCCCGCCGTACTGTACAGCAGAATAGCGTGTGTGGTATGCGCTGTAGATTAGGGTCTTAAAGAGTGAATAGCTGCTCCTTTGGCAACCTTATCCACCCTGTGCTCCATTGGGCCTTCCTGCCAGCTTGCTGTACTGCAGCTCTTGAGGGGATTGGGAGTCGCTGGCCCCATTATTTCTCCCTGAATCAGCCTAAGGAGGGTTTTTAGCCAGGCTCATTGAACTTTGCCGCGCAGCAGCAGGGCGGAGCTGTGACCCACTTACAGTAGCCAGATCTGGCTCTCCACTGAAGAGGCGACAGAGGCACACATATCTTGTGATCCCACATGAAAACATAACATACTGACATATATTTTAGAAATACCATACTAAATCAAATCCTGATCAGAATATGTTGCTTATATCTGTCACCACCCCTTCTCCAAAACTCCTGCCTGTAATGAGTGAGTGTTTTTGGTTATTTTTTAGCCTTTTAGTGCGAGTGAGACGGGTTTCTGTCTTTGTCCTCTCTCTGCTCAGCTGCCCGTCATCTCCAATCAAGCACTGCATGTCTTCACCTGATCACTACGCTGACATCTACTCCCCACTGGATCATTGTGTCATACACAGTATGTTCATGTGCCTCGCTTCAGCTCAGTTAAAAGTTATCTACCAGCTTATTAGTTTGCATGCTTGCCTGTCTCCCTGCCAGAGTTACTTACGCAGGTTCTCTCTGTCTCCAGGATCACCTATCTGCCAGCTCTCCACCCCAGTTTGCCAAGCCAGGCGGCAGCTCTCATTTCCCGTTTTTTCTCTCCCGCTGTAAGCCTTCACCCCTGGATACCTTCCCTCACCCATGCCCAAACATCAGCCAGCCACCAGCTCACCTTTTCTTGCTAATGTTATTGCATGTCGCCCCGCGGGAGATAAAGACAGCTCATCGCCTTGGAGCTGTTGAGCTGAGTGCACATCAAATATTTGTTCATGTATGTTTTGCGTGTGAGTTCCTGGATAATCCTAAACATACAATGACTGGAAGCAATGATACTTTGGCATACATTGCTGCATGAATTCAGCTAAAACCTGGTCAATTAAAACACCATGTCATTATTCTGAATCCCCAGTAGTCTGAAAAATGACCCTTTGGATTTGTCCGACAGCCCATTATCCTGAAAACAAAAGCCAAAAGGCCTTCTATTCTGAACATACACACTCAGGTGTCACCAACTTACTGTACAAAAGTAACTGATATTAACTAATGTACTTAATTAAACACAAACAGTGATATTTCCCTAAAATGTTTCAAGTATTTTTGGAAAAAGCAGACTTTCGGTTGAATGGGACTTTTTTTTCGACCTATCTGTGTTTCGGAAAATGGTCCTTTGTTTTCGTAATGTGTTGCCACTGTCATGTTTCTGCTTCTCTTCCACTGTTCTTCGCTCCCTTTGGTGACAAGTTCCTGATACCAAAAGTTAAACCTGTGTCGTAAGCTATTGTTAGCAGGGCAATAACAGTAACCACCATTTTACTGCTGCGTCTGTATATATATATATATAAAAAGAATAACTTTGTACCAAGCCTTACAAGGTGGAGGTTATGGGAACCATGTGAAGTTAGAAAAAGGTGAGGCTGTCTTGTTCACTTTTGCCCCTGTTGTTTGTTTGTGTCTAACTTGTCCAAAAGAAGGAGGAGAACTGTAGAAAGTAAGGGGGTCATGTGGTCAGCGACTGTCTTTAGTACCAGTCTGCAGTCTCTTTAGGTATTTCTCCTGAAGCAACAGCAGCACTCTAAGTTACACTGAGGTCAACAGGTCAGCCAGCCCTGATGCATTCTCTCTGAACCTTTTTGGCTTTTATCAGCCATCACTTCTGCACCCTTGCTCAAACAGAAATCTGCTCTGAGGCAAAAAATATGGATGCTTGACTTAGTATATGAAGACTGGACATTTTTCATTTTGACCTATCATTTTT